AAGTTTTTTTGTGAACTTGAGAAGAAAAAATATTGAGAGTATTACAAGTTATATTTCTATCAAAATCCATCTCATAATGAAAATCTGAAATCTATAAAATCTTCGTATTTCTATAAATTTCAATACTACGAGAGATCACTATTTTGAATTCTACAATTTAAATTCAATACTAGAAAAAACTCTAATATTCAGTACACAAAAAATCCTTACCTTCTTCCTCTATAATTCATCAAAAGAATAAGAAAAGCATTATTTTCTATTCTTTTTCTTATCTAATTGCTCTCTTTATAAACTATACATGGAGGAGGAAAAAAAAGATAATTTTTTTTTGGGTTATATGCATTTGTCAGCTAAATAGGAAAAAAAAGAAAAAGAAATGAAACCTTTTTCTAGTTTTACTATAATTATTTTCTTATTTAACTGCATTCTTTTTCTTAATTAATATTTTTATTTAATTTCTTAATAAATCATGCTAAAATCACCGATGGACTGGATCTTAAACATCCACCCAACACTTAAGTAATTTAAGAAAAGAAGGGTTTGTGTCCAATCATAAAGCAAGCTTTCCATACTGCATGATATGTCCCACCACGACAAAAGCTGAGTTGCTCGTTTGTCGTTGACATAAAAAATGTCAGATTTCAAATAAGTATGCTCTGTGAGTGTAGAGTATCGTGTCGCCTTCTTCATTCTTTTCAATCAATTTGATTCTATGTTTTTATTGTCCTTTTGACATTTTAATAGTGAAGTTCACTTTATCACCCATGCGATCATCCTACCGTCTATTTCTCTTCATATCTTTTTTTTAAGAGGAATTGGCTCTAATTGATATGTTTTTTCCGTTTTTAAAAATAATAAATGAAGGATTATTAAGAAATATGTTTTAATCCAAGAGTCAAATTAAAAAACTTCAAAATTTTGAGGATGTCATAGCTCACAAAACAAAGCGTTTCCCCGCAACTGATCATTCAAATCATTTCTCCAAAATAAAATAAAATAAAATTTTCAGGAACTTGGTAAAAAATTTCAGGAACACTCAAAATAAAATAAAATAAATATATTGGAAGTTTGGGGTAGCTTCCATTTTTAAACAAAATAATTGTAGCTCCTAGTTAAGATTCCATCTCTCAAATCCATGCTTCCATATCTTATCTGGGCCAAAATCTCATAAGAGACAAGGCCATTTCATAGGCACATGCTCACAGCCATACCTTCTGGTATCATATAATGTTGACATTCAAAACAAGATAGAGGAAGTATAATTGGACAGTTCACATTCGAATATTCAATATTAAACTAGCCTATAGAAAGAAGAAGAAGAAGAAGAAGCTAGCCTATTTTTTTTTTATAAATATATGCTTTAATAGCAAATTTTGCATTTATTCTATTGTAATTTGATAACTTTGAATTTATAGTATTAAATTGCATAATTTGAATCTTAAAGTATCGAAAATTAAACAAATGTGATCCAAATTATATAATTTTTGTCATGTGTAACGTTCAATTAGGTTGATCGTTATTTAAAATATCAAAACGACATTGTTTTGACATTTCTCTATTAATTATTTAAAAATAACATTTTAAAAATATTTTTAACCCCTTAATCTTGATTTTTTTAAAAAAAATTCTTATAAAATATTATAAATTATATTTAAAAATTATAAATATTTTTAACCTCCTTGTTTTGAACCTTTTTTATAAAATATTATAATAAAAAATATATTTTTTACTTTATGAAATTAGGATAACCTTTAATTATACTCATTTTAATTTATAAAATATTTTTTAAGGTCTAAAATTGTGTATTGTTAATTATATTTTTTTACAATAACATTTTATATAAAAAAAAGTTTTTTTTTTAAAAAATTCAAAATTAGGGGTTAAAAATATTTATAATATTTTACAGGAAAAAAGTTTTTTTTAAAAAAAGTTAAAGATTAGAGAATTAAAAATATTTATAAAATATTATTTAAAAAAACTATAATTAACAGTGAAATACCAAACGATGTCGTTTTGATATTTCAAATAACGATCAATCTTATTGATTATTATACATAATAAAAATTGAACAATTTAAATCATATTTATCTAATCTCTAATATTTTAAAATTTAAATTACGTAATTTAGTATCTATGAGTCCGAAATTGATAAATCATAAAAAAAAAAAGGTGAAAAAATTGACCATTAAACCTAATTTTTTACAATATAAAAAAATAAAATTATTGAGTTTAGGTTGCATTATTTTGATGCCTAGCTAGGGTGAGCTGAGCACGATGTTTCATCATTATCTCAGGAAGTGACCGATTCATCTCTATGTCGTTTAGCCCATCATGATTCCAAAGTATCGTCCAATATCAATAATTACTAAAATACAAACCATAAAGTACTCTTTCTGTTTGAAAGAAATGACTGATTCTTTGGATTCATTAATTTTTTTTTTAAAAAAAGAATACCATATTTGAGATATAATTAGACATTAAGGTAGAGGGATTTTTTTTTGGTCAATGCTAAATTGATTGGCATGTACTTAGTTTACCAACTAAGCAAACTTCGTCAAGTTGGCGACAAGTGAGACCAAAAAGAGAAAAAAGAAATAAAACTGGCATCATATGCCACGCTTGATGCTGAAATTATAACACCGGTTGATAGTCCCTATACAATTGATCAAGCAAAGTCAATGAAGCTAGGGCTTTTTTTTTTTTTTTTTTTTTTCAAATTGGCTTGCAATAACATGTTTGTTGGGTTTCAGTTTATCTTCTTCTTCTTTTTTTTTCTTTTTTTTTTTTTTTTTGTTAAGGGAATTTATATATTATTATTGTCATCTACATGCTGAAAAGAACATCCTTACTGGTGGTTCCTGACGTTTGACTACAATAACCTTTGTTTGTTTGTTTATTTATTTTTGTTAAGTTTATATTGAAAATTAAAAATTCCCTATCGCAGCCCACCTCACCAATGAGAGATCCTTAATTCATAAGCGCTCCTATTTGCCGAATACGTGCCTTCCACATTTTTTTTCTCTTCATTTTCTCTCATTCTCCCAAAGAAAAGAAAATTTCCCCTCCCATTTTCACTCCCTTCAATTTCAACCCTCCAAAAACAAGATGTCACATTGTGTTTGGGAAGATGGTGAGAAAGGAAAGAAAGTGATCAAAGAATTTATAGTCTTGTAAGAGTTTTGGATGTTTGTATTCGGCAAGTGTGTTGATTAAAAAAAAAAAAAGAAGATGGGAGCAAAGAAAGTAAGATGAATGAAACATTACTCTCTTTTCTTCTTTTTTGATGAGTTAAAAAAGAAAGCATGGAAAAATGGTAGGAAATTTTTTTTTTCAATAGTTTATACAATAAGAGATAAATTTCAAAAAAAATTAAAATCACTATTCATATTCTTGGATTACAAGAGGTTCCTAAAAAGATAGAGTTATAATTTTACGACCTTTCATCTATTTTCTCTCCAAATTAGAGAGAATGATAAAGTGGAACACGCCGATGGAGAAAAATTCCTCCTATTTTTTTTTTCCGTCTTCTTTTTAAATAGGAGAAAATACCTTCAAATTTATGTTTTATTCCTCTCCTCTTTTTTCCTCACCTTGTCCTCTATCCTAAATACAGGATAAGTGATCCAAAGGAGCCATTCTTTACATTATGTTTAAAAATGATGAAAAACAGAAGAAGAGAAATGAAATATAAATCCTAATAAATTCTCTTTTATTTGGAAGATCGAGAGAAAACAGAGGAAGAAAAAAATCGAGAGAATATTTTTCATTACGATCCACAGAAACTGATTTTTCCAATTTAGGAAGAAAGTATGTGGAAAGTTTGCTAAAATAACTCTTCTAACCTATATGAATGTTGTGTTAATTTAAAAATGAGGCTATCATAGTAATTTACTTTATTACAAATTTTTGTCCTTCCATTTTATATTGTTTGAATTTGTTTTCTGCTCACTTTCCTTTCCTTCACTCTCCACCCTTACATTGTGTTTGGAAACAAAAAATGCAAATATAAGGCCATGACAATACTAGAAAGAGAATAATTTTCATCATGCGCTTGTAAACGGTAAAATAAGAAAGACAAATATACTTATATATGCTTATATAATATTTGAAATATCTTATATGTTTTTAGATTTTTAATTATATTTTATCTATTTTTAAAAGTATTTTAAATATTCAATATGTTTTTTCAATCAATATTTTTAATATATATATAAAAATTTTAATCAAAATATCCCTAATTGAAATGCAAATAAAATAAAATTCTAAAAATTTTAAAAATAAAAATATAAATCATGTGACTTTAAGTGTTTTTTTTTCTTATTTTAGTTAAAGGCATTTCAATTAATAAAATTGTCTATGATCGAAAAAAATAATCATAAAGATAGATTGAAACATGTCAAAATAATACTTAAAGACAAATATGTGTATTTATCCAAATAAAAAAGAATGAAAATAGGGTTTTTCAAAATTTGCAAGGTTTAATATAACAAACGAATTTATGTTAACAATTAAGTATAGGTAGATTGAATTATCTATAAATATAACGATTATTGAGTTAGAAATGGTAAAATTACTTATACAAGTTTCAATTGCCAATTTGATGCAAACATAAGGTCTTAAAATTGGATTTTTTTTCATTTCATGTTGCAAGCAGTCTCTCCACTTTCTTTCTTCTCCAAATCAATTATTGCCAAACACATTGTTAATCCAGACAAGATAATAAATATCAATCCAGTCACTCCGTATGTCTGGCAGTATTGCGCGACAAAAAGTTATTGGTAGAATTAGGCCCATTACTCATAAACATACTTTTATCCGATCAGATCCAATAGTAAGCCCAACATTTAGAATATGGGCCACATGCAAAAAGCCCTAAAGCCGATCGCGAAACCTTGCAAGCGGATAACATGGGAAACAGCAGAAAGTCAGAAACAGTTGAACCAAGCAGAGGTAGGAAGAGAGGCCGAACTATAAACAGAGAAAAATAAAGAGAGAACAAAATGTTAAGAACAGTAACAGTTCCATCATTATCTTCTTCTTCTTCTTCTGTTTATCTCAATTTCTCGACACAGAATAAACCTTCTCTTCTCCCACATTTTTTAAAACTTTCTTCACCATTCAATGGCAATGACAAGAGTAACAGTAACAAAACAGTCGCTTGCAATTACAATCCTTCAAGAAGAATAGCTCTCTTTCAACTTGGAACTGGTAAGCAAGAACCATATACTTCCCTTTATCTCTTACTACTGAATGTTATAACTAGTAAAGCTTAAACTGACATTAAGTATATTGGGTTTCTCTATAGCTATCCGACAATCACAGTTTTTAAGTGGAAACTTAGCTCCAGCAAGAAGTAGTGAGGTTACTGAGCAAAATGTACTAGAGTGGGTCAAGAATGACAAGAGAAGAATGCTTCATGTTGTTTATAACGTTGTGGACTTGGACAAGACCATAAAGTATGTCTATTTAGTTTCTTTATTTCATGCAAAGATGATTCCTTTTTAGTGTAGCAATGGAGGTTTGTTATAATTGTGGCTAATTTGATGTTTGTTGATATGTTTTATACAGATTTTATACTGAATGTTTGGGAATGAAGCTGTTAAGGAAACGTGATATACCTGAGGATAGATATAGTAATGCTTTTCTGGGATATGGACCTGAAGATTCTAACTTTACTGTTGAACTTACTAATAGTGAGTAATTATCTTTTTTTTTTTCAACTTTTTTTATTCATTAATTGGATATGCAGCATTGGTTTATGCAGATTTTTGTCTTGACCATTGGTGTTTCAAATGAATTTTTGTTCTTTTCATTTTTTCTAATTTGGATTTTAATTTGGTAATGCTTGCAGATTATGGAGTTGACAAGTATGACATTGGAGATGGATTTGGACATTTTGGTATTGCAGTAGAGGATGTAAGTTATTCTTTATTAAAATGTTTTCTTGCTGCATCGAATTTGATTATTAAGTATCTTTCTTGAAATGTTTGCTTACTTCCTTGAACATTTTTAGTTGCTGAAAATTTTAACTATCCCTCACGATGCTTTCTTGCCAAAAAGAAAAAGAAAAAAAAAAGGGTTTGAATTTCCTATGAATTTAATTCAGTGAATAGCGAGGCAACTAGGGAATTGTAAGGTCATACTTGTGAACTTATGTTGTGTTTGTACTCAATTTTCATGAACACAGGTTGCCAGGACAGTTGGTCTTGTTAAGGCAAAGGGGGGCAAGGTTACTAGGGAACCTGGTCCTGTTAAAGGTGGAAGTATAATAATTGCTTTTGTTCAAGACCCAAATGGTTACAAGTTTGAGCTCTTGGAGAGAGGCCTTACGCCTGAGCCCCTATGTCAAGTGATGCTTCGAGTGGGTGATCTTGACCGATCCATAAATTTCTATAAGAAGGTAATATGGTCCATTTTGGCATAAACTGCTTTGCTCATGGAAATTAAAGCACTGACGCTTGCTGCTTCAGCTGTTATCACTGAAAACTTCCTGGAGTTCTGATGCTTTTTTTTTTTTTAATTTTTTATGATTATACTGATGTTTTCTTTCTTGAATTTGAAGGCTTTTGGCATGGAGCTTCTCCGCAAAAGAGATAGTCCTGAGTACAGGGTAATATAATTACACCTTCTACCGGTCATCAAATGCCATTAATGTTTTGAATTTTCTTGTGGCCATTTGTTTAATTATGCCTGCAGAATATATGAGTTAGATGGTTCCTAATAAACCTGTTCTGTTCTTGCTTTGTTGTCCTTGATGCTACAAGTTCTCCACAGAAGCATTTCCCCATTTTCCTCCGATATATTGCTAGGCATAATATGCCACTCTAATTGGTTGTTTGTTATTTCTACCTTCTCAGTATACAGTAGCCATGATGGGTTATGGTCCTGAAGATAAAAATGCTGTGCTGGAACTGACATATAACTATGGGATTACAGAATACAACAAGGGAAATGGCTATACGCAGGTGAATTCTTACCTTCTCTTGCAGCATATACTACAATAATTTGGATTCACACCATTTAATTCATTCTTCCCTATCAAGATCGTCGTTATGTCATATCTTTAGTCTTCTCCTCTGGTTTTTATACTATGTTATATATGAAAACTGAAGGTTTATATCTCTACCAGATTGCAGTTGGCACAAATGATGTCTATAAGAGTGCAGAGGCAGTCAAGCTGTGTGGAGGAAAAATTATCCGTGAGCCTGGGCCTATACCAGTTATCAACACCAAGATTACTGCTTGCTTGGATCCTGATGGTTGGAAATCGGTATGATTTTATATATTTTCTGTTTATCTTTAGCTATCCTGGTTCTCTAACTGTATCTGTAAGTATTTTTCACATGGAGTTTAGTCATAGTTTCCTCTCCTCAAAAGGTCGTCTAGATTTCACTTACCTAATGAGTTGTTGCTTTGGCCAAATTCGTAGTTTCTACAAGATTGGGATGTGTGATTGCATAATAGGTAAATGTAAGAGAAAATGCTTTTGCAGGAAAATCATGGGCAATTGAAACCTAGAAAGTTAGTTTGAAAATTCCTATGAGCTTGTGCTGTGCAAGGAATTTAGTTATGAATTTTGAGTTCACACAGGTTACAAGAGTTATTGACAGCCATTGAACAAACAAAGACAGCAAAGATTTTGTTATGCTTTGGTAATTGGTTTTTTCCTAGTGGATAATCCTTTATACATAAGTTGATGGTCCGAGACTATATTGATTAGAACAGGACATATGCGAACTAATTTCCTTATCATCCATTGGTTCTAGATGAAGAAATCGGCTTGAGATGTCCAATTTTTGGTTTACTGATAAATGCTTTCAAGGGCTGTTTATCCTCTTTTGGTCAGATGTGTTAATCATGCACATAATTGATCTTTCAACCTTTCCTCTTATTGCAGGTCTTTGTTGATAATGTGGACTTTTTCAAGGAACTAGAGTAACCACGATAGCTGCAACACTTCTTTATTGAATTCATGGGAAGATTCTTAACAATTTTGACATCCTCCTTTTCTCACCAGAAACCCCTCATTTTACTTTGTACATATGACTGTAACAGTTACTATCGCTCTTTGCAATCCAAAGTTAATTTCTTTGCAAAGTCAAATTCTAGTTTTGCAGCAATCCAAAGTTGTGGATTTTATGTTAGGCTGGTACGGCAATTCAGCATATGCTGAATCCCATGCATCCATATCTGTTTGTCGGCCTTAATGCATTCAAACTCTATCACCCTTTCGGATGTTTTTATTGCAAAGTAAGCTCTACGCCCACTCTGGTCTTCTTTATCTCTTCCAGGCCACGCTAAGATGTCTGTGTAGACTCCAGAGACTACAACTGCAATTACAGCATAGCTACACTCAGTTGAATGGCGCAGGGAGGTAATGGATTAATTCTGGGTTTGAGACTGCTTACGTTTTTTCTTTTTTGTGAATGTTCCTCCCATGTGCTTGCTTTTCATTTTAGCTACCACCTGTTTCAATTCAAATTTTAAGTAGTTATGAAAAATGCAAAAAAAATTAAAATAATAAAATAATAATAATACTAATAAAATTATAGAGCTGCACTTCGTAAAAGAACTGTCAACAAAACATCACGAAAAATAGCTTTTAAGTCCTGCATAGCTTGCAGAATTGATTCAATTCATTGTTTGAAATGGTTAAATATAGCTGCCTGATGCATTGCATGTCCCCTGCTTTTTTACCTGCCAATTTGAGTTGATGTTAAAAGAAACTCGTTTCCAGTGGAGAGCTCCTGTCATCAAAATTTGTGCGATGGTTAGTGCCAAATCCAGCCTTCTTATGGGGCATGTTGTTGTGGCTTTACTGCCAAAGCATGAACCTTTAAAGTATCAACTTTTCAAAATTTCTACCTTTCCTTGTACGCTTGAGAAGTTCTCCACCTTTAGTCACAAAGTGCAGTGCAGCTGTGATGTTTGCTTCTCTATCTTCTTCGTTCTTTTCCTCCCCTAGAGCAAAGGCTGTAGTTCCAGGCCCCTTTTGCATCCTTGCCCTTAGGGTGGCTGCTCCTCGTAAGGCTGCATTTGTAAATGCTTTCGTTAAGTAGAAATAACTCCAATATCATTTAGGAATTGTACAACAGAAAAATAGTTGATTCCTTGCGTTATTTTCTTCCTGCCATTTTTCATTTCAGTACTTAAATGGTGCCCACTTGAAGCCTAATTGCATCGCAGCCTCTACGATTTTCAACCTCATGTTATTGTGTATCACCTCTAGCTGCAGTTCTTGTGAATTTGTCGGGTCTTATAAATTAAATTTAGTTCGAGGGTTAATTTTTCAAAGTAAGGAATGACAGAATTTTAGAGGCAATTGAAGAAATACTGTCACCTGTAGCTGCTCCAGCTGTTAGGGCCATGATATCCCCATTAGTCCTTGCATTAATTGCAGAGTTGACAACAGTTAAGATTTGGTCATGGTCAGCTCCCATGTCCTCTGCAATCTCAATGCAGTGAGATGCTACTAGAGCTGCTGCTGAAGACACTGCCGATGACATTTTGGAAGGTGTCTTCTGTTGGACTGCCGTCAGTTCTTTTGACATTGCATTTGAAGCAGCTTGTGCAGCGACAGCAGCAGCAACCCCTACCACAGATACAGCTGCATGCAGTTGAGCATTTTGGGTTCTGATTTCCTGCTTCTTCCTCTCTTTCTGATCCTTCAGCCATCTTCCCATTGTCCTGCCTTTCAATATGCTCTTGTATAGCTGCAAAGAGTAAAGCAATTAGCATAGATAAAAAAAATGGCTTGTGAGTTGATATATTTTGCTGAAGTTCAATAATGCGGTACCCCATTTTTTAGCAACTGTTGACTGGAAAGGAATTCTGGAGTGAGTGCTTGATGAAGTAAAAATAATTCCTGCACCAGTAAACTTATTGCTATTAGAAGTGCATAAAAACAATGACAATTTATTCGTGATTGAATCAAGCATTTTTGGTAGAGGTAGTCTTGAGCTGGAAAATAATTCCAAATTCACTGTTAGCTATCCTATGGATCAAAGAAGCAAAAGTCTTTCTGAATTGTTAGCTAGCATTCCAAAGTAACACTGAAAAGATAAACAGTAAGCACTACCTTCATTTCTTCACTGTCTCGTGGAGAGATTGGAGAGCTGCCAGTGCTACCACCACTTGGGAACTGCTGAAGCAGCTATAACATTTAGGTTTGAGGGAACATGTAGAAGTAAAAATGATAGGCACCGAGACAAGAAAAAGAAAAGAAACACAGGACACTATTTCATGTTGAATAACCTGACTGCATCAGTTTCATGTAATTATTTGAAGAAACCATTAGGCCGTTGATCACATGGAACATTCTAGTTATCTTGTGCTTGTGATGTTCTTGGGTAATTTATGATTGAATCATGGAGACATAAGGAACATTTTTTAACTGCTTGAATTAGAGCAAAGGATCTTACTGATTCCTTTGAAGTTGTGGAACTTGCATCTTGAGCTTCAGCTTCAGCAGAACGAAAAGACGAAGCCTTCTCAACATTATCAATGGCCACATGAGTGTTGGAAAGAGCTTTAGAGAGCTCCACAGCTGAAAGGCTCCATGATCTTGCAAGAAACTCCATGGACTCAGTTGGAGTTTCAGGTGCAGCACATGCCACTGGTAGCCAACAAGCAGGACCATTTTCATCAATATTCTCCAGCTTTTGTAACAAGCTCTTTGTGGTGCATGAGCTCACTGAATCACAAAAAAACCACGAAGAGAGAAAGAAGCTAGTCAGTTGGTGGTCTATTTACACAGTAAAAAAAAGCAAACTTTAAAGTGATGAAAAAAGGCTTACTTCTAAGCTTTGCTATATCACTTTGGTGAGACTCAAGGGTTTGGCCTTTCTTGCAACTTCTCATGCCAAAGAAGAGTAAAGCAAGAACCAGGCCATTGAAATGAAGAGAGGGGGAATAGTGGGATATTTAAACAAGGGCATAAAAAGCTGGAAAAAAAAAAAAATGGAGGCACACATTCTGTGCTAAAAGAAAAAGGGGCCCCCAATAAAGATGGTTCATCTTTGTCATCAACTTAAGCAGTACTTGCTTTTGATCTCCACTCTTTTGTGCATGAAAAATAAAGAGCTAAAGACTCGATTTTTCTTGAGCGGCGGGATTCATGATTACTAGGATTCTCCCTTGTCTCCATTATCACTGTAAAATAAAGAAATGGGATCTTGTTAAGCAATTGGTATATTGCTCTACCTGATTTTCTATACATTATGGAAGGCTTCAGCATGTATCATGTAAAGCATACATAGCTAAGACTTAAAGGTAACAGTCTCAACTCACTGTGCAGGAATAATTGCATAGAAATTGGTGTATAGGAGGAAATCTATCCTTCGTTTGAAATACAGAAATAGGTCGGAGAAAGAGGAAAAAGAAAAGTACTAGAGACTGCTTTCAGGTAGGCAATGGAAGCCACATTTTAAAACGTTTCTATTTTAACCCCTCATATTTATTTTTCCCACAACCTTTTGCTTCGACTTGAACTGACAGAGCACTTTGTGACTCCAAAAGAACAAAAATTTTGGCACTGCTTTCTTTTCGAAACTAGAACAAGGGAAAAAAGAACATCGTTCAATTTTTATGATAGGTCTAGATAATGGGTTATCATTCCTCATATCCCATACGCGTTTTTCTTCTACATAGGAAGGGGTCAAATATCGATGTGCATTAAGGGATAGCATAATTGGTTTGGCAAGGAGTAACTTGCTTTTAACTTCTCATTTATGCTAGAAAAAAACACTTTTGAATCATTAACACATCAAAACACCATTGAACTGACATTTAAGTCGGGCCAATATCGTTTTTGTACAGAAGAATGCTATGTATATCTATAGCATTAGACCTAATCAAACGTTTATAAAAAACCAGACCTATTGAATCCATTGCTCCACCAAGCCAAATAGATTATCGGGTCAAGTACTAAAAGATTACACAAGATCCACTTATTTATCTTTTTCAGTCTTTTATTTTTTATTTTTATTAATCGAACTGCACTAACAAATTTAGCTGCTTCGATCCATGATGAGTAAGTCAATATAAGAATTTTTACAATTTCAACAATCCAAAGCAGTCCCCTTTTGCTAAATTCTTCAAGAAAAATTCTTCATTGAAATGTAGATCAGATTGAAGACAGTTCATTGCCAAAACATAAAACCAGCAAAAAGTTTAGATGGACACCACACGAGCGTCCGTCAATTAAAACCTAGGAAAAAAAATAAAGAGGCGGCTTAGAGATTGCAAATGATAATCAGCTTCCCAATGTTGTCATAAAAAAACAAGTGCGAGAAACCAAAGCTGATAAGAGCCATTTAAATTGGAAAAATGGGACAAGAAGTGTTTTAGAAGTGGCAATGAGGGTTTTATAACTTCAAGGAATGCCGATCAACGAGCGGGTGTCTCTGCATTTGCTGTTTCATCATTTGCTTTAAGTCTCATCATGTCTAGCCCATTAACCTATTTAAGGTCCCACACGCCATTACACTGAAAATATTGTGATTAACCCACCTAGCTTCTTAATTAATTCATAAGCTCCCAGATTTCCAAGATTGATACTCAAATTAGACATCCACCAAGGCTACAATGTGGGTCGGCTATGATAACAACCTATACGATATTTGCAGGCAGCACACGCACGGACACAATTTGGAAAACGATATTTAGAGAATCTTTGCAATTGTCCAATAAAAAAATGTTGATAGTTTAAAACCACATCATGCATTGCAATATGTAAGTGAACAAGAAATAAAAGCTAAAATTAGTTACTTCGATGTAGCACTAAACCAAGACTTGTGTCGATTGGATCTCCAAAACTATCATACATTCTTCAATTGGATCCCCATTTATTTAAACAAAAAAAGGTCAAATTTTCCTCAAAATCGCATCATTTGATATTCTTTTATTGAATAATATATGCATTTAGCCAAAAAAAAAAAAAAAACCGATAGGTTGTGCCGCCTAATAAGGAGCATCTAATACGTTGTGGACCAACGGAGAAACTCTGTTGTTTTGGGATCCAGTTGGCTATTGAATGATAGTAAGAGGACTAATTCAAGGTCTGCCCAAGATAAGAACACCACACAACCGACATTTACGATTGCGCTATTAGCGATATTTCTGTTTGTACCGTGTAAGATAATGACAAGTAAACGTTTTAACAAAAACTCTGTTTTTGGCATGTAAAAAAATCAACCACATTGAATGTCGGATTCAAAGAAATAATGTAAAAAGAGAACCTTCTGTCAGAAAAAATATATACATTTTTTCATAATATTCCTATCACAGTATGGAAGAAACGGTTATGGTGGTGAACCTTAACGGTGGCAGACCGGTAACAACAACTGTGGCAGTAATGGTACTATGCTTATAGGGGTAACCATGTTAGGGGACCATGTGGTAGCATGCTGATGGCAATGTAGGTGATTGTTGCAATTGCAGGGGATGCCAAGGTGTGGGTATAAAGAAAATGCATGCATTAGCAATGGTCCGAAGAAACTATATCGAATTCGGCCGATGAAAGAACACACAATCTGTTTTGGTGTGGATATTTAACCCCACAGATGAAAACTTTACCGAATTTGAAACTACATGAAAAAGGAGGAATGTTACCCTTCCAACTCATAACATAGTCTAAAAAGTGTTACTCCTCATCTTGCATAGCTGAGAGAGAACAATATCTTTGTAGTGCACCCCATGGGAGCCTGTGGCACTAATTGCAACTTATAATAGAGCGTAACCTATAAAGATAAAATTGCAAGTTTTGCACCCATGATGAGGATTGGCGAAGCATATCAAAGAATAACCAAATTATCAATATCTTATAATCTAGAGCAATTAAGTCATTTCTGCTTCAAAAAGAATGTTACCGCTTAGGATAAAAATCTATTTCCACATTAACAATGCAACATTGACTTACCTTAAGCTAAATTCAGCAGCAGTTGGGAAAACCTTTTAGTCATCCCAAACTACATTACACCCCAAGCTGACAAGCTCTCAATATTGTTATAGCACCACTTGGATAAGAATAGAGAAGCAGATCATCATCATTCAATAATTCAGCAGTCAGATTCTGAGTGCTAATTCTGAGAGTTATCACCTCTCTCTCTCTTTCTAGTTAAAAGATGCTTTCGCATCATACAGAGATAAGAGATACACCCCTTAGCCTATAGCCTATTGCTTGAGGCAACCTTTTGGCCTGGGTTTACATTGGATTGCTTGTCTATCAATAATGAGTGGCCATCTCAACTTAATTAACACTAGGCAAAGACATCTGAACCTGTGCTCAGCCCAAGGTTTGTGATATTTCATGATACATTGGAAGAAGGTATTAACAATATGATATAATAGATTTTGATATGCAAAAATGGCAAGAAAGATAGAGGGCCTAACCCGAACCAGTGACCTCTTGATCTGCAGTCAAATGTTCTAACACTGTGCCATGGACCCAGAAAAAACTAAAAAAAAAAAAAACAAAAAAAAAACAAAAGGGGAAAAAAAGATTACTCTGGTTCTTATCACTCCTGAGCTTTATTTAGAAGTAAGCATGCTACCTGCAAGTCTATTAGCAGCTTCCTCGGCTGGTAGTAGTACCTTAACTCTCTCTCTCTAGATAGAGCATGTCTGTGTAGCTTTATTCTGCAAACCTGTGTCAATGTCATAGAATATCATATTCCTGTAGAAGCAAACTCTGAACCAAATGAAATATATACAGGTAAATTTAAATGTTGAAGCATGGTATGAACCCACAAAAAAGGTCTGGTACTAATTCTAAAAACATTGCATTATGAGTAACACTTCTTTTCCATAATCCCTCTGGAATTTCTCAAGTATCCATCTTGTACTCCATGTGGTATTCTTGTCACAGCCTTCACAGACAAATTGAAATATTTACTTTTCCCAAGACCTTTACACACAACTTATTCTTATTCTTTGACAACAATAATACTTAGAAACATATAAATTATCTGAAGCAGACAAGAGTGAAAAAGCATATACTTTCTTTCTCTGGCAATTTAGAATGGCAGGAACAAATTTAATAGGATTGGTTCAAAATGAAGAGACAAAGATGTTAATTACCTCAATCTCTAGGATTCAAAGCTTTCCAGAATCCACACACCAATTCAAAGATGGATAACTAACAAACCATCTTCATTTGCATCCTTACTTCCAACAGCTCTTTCCACTCAATAAACGAATTTCATACAAAACTTTAACTATAGCAATCTGAAAATGGAAATATATAAAGTTAAGCATAATTTTTCCCCCCAAAGCTTCATTACAAGATGAAAAGATAATGGCAACTGAGAAAGCTCCACAAGAACAGGCAGGATGACATGGTACCTGAAACACTAGATTTTGGTACTTCTTTCAGAATATGAAGGATGCGGGTACCTAGATTCAAATTGATCCAGGTAAAAAACCAAGATTTGTATTGAAAAATAAAGCACTAATAATGGGAAGTAATTTATTATGAATTAAATAAGTAGATGTCAAAACAACCATACATCATCCAAGGATAGAGGATCAAAAGGAACAATCTACATATCCTCAATTGAACAATAAACATAAAACAGAATTAACCATTTTTCCATCTTAAACAACAAAAAGACCAAGCTTTGATGGGCCCAGCACCATCCAATGTGTCTACTTGTAGTCACCTTGTGAATAATACATTTAAGTAATTTGACATTCTTGAGGCAAAGAGGTCGAGCCATCCAAACTTCATGTCAGTGACAATGCTATCCTGGATTCTGTCCCCCGAATTACAGCTGTAAATACAAAGGAAAGTTCAGTAGTTGAAACATAGTACATTGTTTCATAGCAATTATGGCCATGAAAAATTCACAAATAAAAACAGTAAGAGCGCAAGCATGATGCATAACATACATAATAATCTCTGAAAGTGAAGTTGTCATACCAATTACTTAGCTGAAGAAATTCTCATCAACCTGCTTGAAGCACCAGCTCTGTTCCCAAGCCCCCGACCAATGTTCACAGCATCAGTTGACCCATCTAGTTTCATAAAATCCCTTCTAGATGCACTGGGTGGAGCAAAAGAAGTCGACGGCATTGATGCATTGTTCATATTCTGCAGCAATAAAATCTCAAATAGCTGTGATTCCACCAAATTTACAGCACAGTGATTCTAGTGACAGTAACATTTAGTAAGACAAAAGGTGTTGTCAAATACATAGAATAAGTTGCATCAAAGTACAACACTGGCTATGCATTCTAGCTACATACAACAATATGAAGAGAACAACGAGAAGACAATAATATTGATCACAAGAAAAGATGACTCACATGCTTGTCAATTGGATTATCAGCAATTAAATTCCGAGAAAATGACGACCCAAACTGCATATGAGAATCTGGACGAGCAACATTTTTCGATCCTCTGTGATCAGTAACCTCAGCCGAATAAGAAGCACTATTGACCCCTGAAATTAAAAAATGAACATATAGAATGATGTTTTCTGCAAGGCCATATAAAAATAGATGAATTCTAGAATCCAATAGAGCAAAATCTTTCATATCCTAAACAGATAAGTTTTGTGTCATCCTTCTCCATGATCCTCAGTCCATTAGAAAACTTTGTCCCTACTTCACTCAAGAACATCTTCAGTTGAGAATTCAATACGAAAAAGACCAAATAGAATGAAACCACAAAAAAAAGGACTAAAAAACTTCTAAATGGCTTCCTAGATTCACTATGGGTTGAGCAAAAGTTCAACATGACAAATAAAAAAAAGGAATAAAAAGGTTCTGCTGGGTGCTAGAATGGTTAACTACTAATTTCCCAGAATCTAATTGAGGTCATTGTATCATTGTTCAATATTTACTAAGCCATTGCAGTACAGCAGATGGACATTTGAAATCCAGTAATGGCATGTTAATGTTGTCATAAATGAGCCCGGCACGATTGTTAAAATAACCTACAAATAACCAATCAAGAACAAGTTCACTCTGAGATTTCAGACCCTCATTTCTACATCTACATTTTTATGCTTGCGCTTACACCTACAACCAATTCCCATGCAAGCGAATTAAGCATTATTGTGCTCTGTTAAGATGGACTGGTTTGATTTTATTAAGGTGTCTAATTCAACATCCTTCCCACACCGCTGCAAAAAGCCAAACCCCTCTTTCTTACCTCAAAAATAAGGAAGCAAAATGATACAAATATTTTCCATCTAAATTGAGGTGACAATTCAATCATAAATAGTTAAAATGACGTGAAAAGAAAACTGCTGCCAAACGTACGAGACCCAGATAAACAAGATAGAAAATTAAACATGAACAGAATGACAATCCTTAGGCTTTTACCTTTATCCTTATCGAGATCCATTGCCATTGCTCGATTGCTTGTCACTCTAGAATTTGGCCGCAAGTCCTGAAAAATCTCACATGAAAGAATAAAATCAAATGAAGACTATTAATAAGCCACTCCAGAAGCAAAGTGAATTAGTTTACAGAATAATTTGAAGACAATTTTGGACCTATACAAACAAATAAAATAGAAAAATAACCCCTAAAAAGAATATGAATTGCAATCTCATGAATTGAAGTCTTCGCATGACTCATTGGAAATATTTTAGAGAGAGAAGGTTCGAATAACTAACGGATGATTGAGTTTGTGGCTTTGGCCTTTGTGTCTGCTTGTACTTCAGGATGGTCCAATCAAAAACATGATCAAACTCAAATCCTGCCAGAAATGGGAAAATATGTAGATCAAGCCATAGAATATGACTGTCAACTCCAAAGGCCTGAGTGGATGTCACTTCACAACATTGACTATTAAAAGCAACGGACCAAAAATTGTTCAATTATCAATTTCTAGACTTTGCAGTCCTCAATGACTGACAAACATAACTTCCCTATCGTCCCCCCACTGAACCGACATTAAAAAGAATTCCTCACAATTTAATTAATCAATTACCTTCCCGAGTAAACAATTCACGAAAGAGGCGCTTCAGAAATCCATAATCAGGCCGTTGGTCAAATGTTAAAGAGTGGCAATAATGGAAGTAAGAAGCAAACTCCACAGGATGCAACTTGCATAGCACCTTCACAAAACAAATGTGACGTCAACAGACTGCTAAATATAGAAGGCAGAGATTCAAACTGGTACAAGGAACCAAATATGCAAACAGAATTCAATTTTGAGAACAACAACCCTTGAAGCTCTTTTTCTTCTTTCCAATGACAAAAGAGCTATCCAAGCATTTAGTTGTGCTTTATTTTCCCTAGAACCTACCCACTCTAACCTTAGCTTTAACAGCAATTGCCTTTATCAAAAAAAATGGAAAATCTTTTTGCCTAAATAATCCAAATAGGATAACTTGCAAGCCACATTATTTAATACTCTTATACAATTTTTGCTCTTGTAATTCCATGAATTTCAGGTTGCTACTCTATTTTTTGGATTTCAGATGAATGTTTATGCATGTGATATATGACAAGAAATAGGATTGATGACAGAAGTTTGAGAAAAAGGTCACCTTTTGAAGATCCAGTCTTATTATCTTAGAAAAAAAGAAGATACTTCTCCCACTAAAATCAGGATACAAATTCCAAGTTGATTAATTGCATTTGGCCACATACCTCAATTGGAGTTGATAACTTCTTCTCGCATATTTTATCATACTTTTGCTTCTTTGTTGCCGCTTTCAGACCCTGCCATGGAAGGCTAAATGCAGAAACCAATTATCAGATGGTCAAAAAACCAACTAATCATCATATCATCTTGTTAAAACATCACACCGCCTCCAAAATTCACATGGTATTAAAGGGGAAAAAACAGAGCAAACCCAGAATAAATAAATAAATAGATCTCTACATAGGCAGTGGTAGCATACCTTCCTCTCAAAAAATATAAAAGAACGTAGCCAATAGACTCCAAATCATCCCGACGGCTTTGCTCTGAGTAGAAAGTAAAAGGTGAGCATAGAACAAATGGTTTGCTTGATTTATCAAACACACTAGCAAAACATGTCTAACTTACCAATTCCTAGATGAGTATTGCAACTTGCATACCGTGCAGTTCCTGTTAAGTTTTTGTTCTCTCTTTTTGAGGGGCGAAAGGGAAGGAAAAAAGGAGTCTTAGTCAATGATGGTAGACAAATAAAGATTCAGGGAAAGGGGAATGCACATCGTCAACAAAGGAAAACAAATATGTTACATCCCAACAGGTTTTACCACAAAAACCTCAGTGGTTTTCTAACTGCCAACATATCAGAGCATTATTGCCAGAAAAAGTTCTTCATACATTTGTTCATATCTCGATGCTAAACAAAATAAAAGACACTTTATGAATAACAACAAACCAGTAAAGTCATCTTAAAATCAAAACCTGAAGATAAAAGGCCTAACTCAACTCAGCAAACCCAAGCCTTTCCCAACTAAATTAGATGACAAGCTAATAAAAAACTTTATGAATGAGAAACACAATGTCCTGGCTTAAATTTTTGAATGTCATCTAGCAAATACCAGACTTCTAACTGTTAACACTGATAACAGGAGCTAAGTCAATAGCTGAACTACAAAGTTTCAAAAATCATAAATGATTCAACCCTCTTTCTCGCTTGAAAACTGCATTACCATTTTTGTTCTCTTGTCTACATACAACCAAATAATTTTGACAACATTGACAACATTGACACTTAATGAGGAGAGATGTCCAACACCCACCAGAAATCAAACATGAGCTTGGTTATAACAATAACTACCTGTAAGTAATATGTTGGTGTGTTGTTGGATCCCTATATCTTTTTGCAAGTCCAAAATCAATGACATAGACCTGGTGCATGCAAGAAAATTAAGGGACATTTATTAGATAACAAAAAACCACAATGTGTTATTCACTAATCATCCACATAAATAAGATACTGAACATAAAAGGCACAACACAGAGTAAACTATTACCTGATTAGCTTTCCTTCCAAGACCCATGAGGAAATTATCCGGTTTAATATCCCTATGCAAAAACCCCTTCGAATGCATGTATTCAATCCTCGCAATCTCCATTCAGGAAACAGATAAAAAAAAAAAAAACAACCAACAATCAGAACTCATCATCAAAATCCGAGAACCACATTCAAATACTATAAAACCAAATCACATCATCAGTCATTACCATCTGATCAGCCAACATTAACACCGTTTTAAGCGAAAACTTTCTCCCACAGTACACAAACAGGTCCTCAAGACTCGGTCCTAACAAATCAATTACTAACACATTATCTTCTCCGTCTACTCCACACCATTTTATATTCGCAATACCACCTGAATAACACAATTTCCACAAATTAAAATACTAAAAAAAAAATAACACAATTTCCACAAATTAAAATACTAAAAAAAAATAACACGAAAAGAAAATTACTAATTTCTGAAAAATACTTACTTCCTCCACCAAGAATCTTATACAGTTTGGCTTCGTAAAGTAATTGCGGATGCTTCGTACTCCTACTTTCCTACAAAATTAAAATTAAAGATTAATAAAAAGAAATTAAAATATCAAAATCAAAAATCAAAACTAAAAGCAAAGAGAAGATGAGAAATCAAGACTTACAATTTTGACAGCTACGATTTCACCAGAGTGAATGTGAGTAGCTGTTAAAAAAGTAAAAACAAAAAACAAAAAAAAAATCAGAAAATCAATCGTGGAGTAAATGATTAGGGTAAATAATAAGAGAGATAAAGAAAAAGTATACCAAGAAAGATTTCACCGAAGGATCCGCTTCCAATTTTGCGACCTAACTTGTACTTCTCTCCTATAATTCTCTCCATTCATGCATGAAAGGTAGAATTTTCTTCCTTGATTGATTAATTGATTGGAGAGAGCCGAGCTGGGAAGAGAAGAGAAGAAGGAAGCGACGAAGCAAACAGAAAAAGAGAGGGTCACCGGTGAGGAAGAGGAAGTTGGGGGCACATTTGTGAACGTTGTTTTTTAACTTTCTTTTATTTTATTTTCGAAAACTTGGAAAATGAAATTGGATAAGAATGACAAAATGACATGTCGGTTGTTACGTAACCGATGAACACTAAGGTGCCCTTTAATTACTAGAAATAAAAAATACAAAATAAAAATTATAAAATGGAAATGATATTTGTATTTTGACAATGTATTTAAAATAATAAAAAATTATGATAAAATTTAAATTATTTAATATCTATTTTTTAATATAAATAAAAATAAAAATTAAAAAAATTATAAATTATGATAGTAAAATAATAGAGATAATTATTGTAGTGGAATAGAAAAAGGATAAAGAAGAGTTAGTAGTAATAACAACATAATAATATCAATAATATATTTTTAAAAAATTGATACCATCATTGTATAAGATGATAGAGGAAGAAGAGTTATTGTAATGGCAGTGGTGATATACTAAAAATGATCGTATCGATAGAAAAAGAGTGATGACAGAATAAATAATAATAATTTTTTATTACCGTAGTCAATGGTGATAGTGTTAGTAGTATAATAAAAGTGATAGTGATAATTGATGATGAGTGGTGTTGGAAAAATAATGATAACTTTTTTTAAAAAAAAATTATCACCATCTCCAATGAAAGTGAGATGGTAATAGTGGTGATGGTAGAAGTAGTTGATACATAATAAATAAACATAATATATTATTATTTTGAAGAAAAAAATTCATTCATATTCTTTATTTTAATTTTGACATTCTACGTAGAAATGAAACTATTCTCAATTTTCTTTCTCTTTCTCATTTTTCATTTTCATTTCTATTTCATTGCTTTTAACCAAACAGATTACAATATAGAAATAAAATTTTTATTCTCATTCTCACCACTCAATTCATCATAACCAAACAATACTTAAGGATATCTTTAGGATTATAAATCATTATCATTATCTTTATTTATGAACACTAAAGGGAAAACTAATTTCTTTTTATTTTGAGGTTGTGAGTGACAAAGCATTGAATTATAAATTCAGCGAGTTCAAATGAAAATAGTCAATAATTAGTGTTATTATCAATTTAAAAATATTGTCCTGAAAAATATATTTTCATGGAAAACATAGTAGGTGTATCATTATCATTATTTTATAAATTATAAATTTGCTATAATCACTACAATAACTTTAAGTTAAATTTTATTTGAAATCTAAAATCATCATGTTTGTTGATGTATAATTCTTATTGATATTATTTAGAGGAAAAAACAAAGTTGAGTTAAAATTAAGATATGCAAAAATATAGATTAACATATATATTCTTTTCGGGAAGGAAAAAAAAAAAAAAAAAACAAGTATCATTAACAACATAGATAAGATATTTTGCTTCTTTCTTTGATTCTTATGTTTGAATCTGAGAGTTCGCATCCAAAAAATAAAAGAATTTATTCTTTTCAATGCACTGAACCAATATGAGGGTAGAGTCATTAAAATCGTATGAAAATTTTTTTTATCTTAGTTGATGCATAACCTAACACAAACATACTTTGTATCATAAAAAAAACATAAATAAGGTATACTTAAGTATAATAATCAAGATATAAAAAGTATGTATTCACATTTCTGTTTAATTATAAAATCAAGAAATACAAAGTATACAATGATATTTCTAGGGTATTGATTTAATTTCGCTGGTCTCATTAAGTTTTTAGAAACACATATCGTTTTTTCTATTTGATGATAAGTAGTATTTTTGAACTAGTTAAAAACTCAATTAAAACCAAGTCTTATTTCCATGTGATCTTAAAGGCACACCTTCCTCCATTCAAACTGTTGATATCCGCAGACTTGTTTAACACGTTTTTAGTTCTTGTGATGACAATATTTCTATTTTATATTTCTCAATCTTTTTTTATTTGCAACATCTCAAAAACCATCATTTTTTCAATTTTTTAATGGAATTCAACGCAATTGTCAAGGTTATGCCCTTTCTCATTGTGAAACTACTAATGCCTAATAGTATAGATGGCAGCATATGTCCCTAATGGCTTTTGGACATACCCAGCAGGTCAAACAACCTATCTATTACTACTTATAAGATAAATGTGTCCTTATTATACTTAGCATTCTTAAAAGATATCGTGTTTACACTTTTAATGTTAGCTAATGGCACCTGCATGATACTCACACCTCTCACTAGGTTTATATACCAACAGGGATATGATGGCTGAATCGAATCTTAAAAAATTAGAATAATTTGTGTGATACTTACAAGGTGCTCAAGCACTACAAAAAAATAAAGAATTTACGAGGAAAAATTAGCGATGGTTTCAAAATCATCGCTAATTTACTAAAATTGCAATGGTACGAAGATCTTTAGTAAGAGAAATTAACGATGGGTTTTTACAAAAAAAAAAAACCCATCGCTAATTTCAATTTTTTTTAAAAAAAATTTCTACAACCATTTTTGCGACGGTTTCCAAAAAAAAAACCGTCACTAATTTCAATTTAAAAAAAAAATTATACAACCATTTTTTACGACGGTTTTTGTAAAAAAAGCTGTTGCTAATCATGGAAATTAGCGACGAGTTTTTTGTGACGGTTTTTTCCAAAAAAATTCGTTGTTAATTTCATTTTTTAAAAAAAAAATTTTTGTAAAAATTTTTTGCGACGGTTTTTGTAAAAAAACCGTTGCTAATTTCAATTTTTTTTAAAAAAAATTATTTCTTCCAGACCTTTTTAGGGATGGTTTTTTATAATAAAAAATAAGTCGCTAATTAAGAGGGAAATGACTATTTTTTAAAACTTTTCGGACATACCGTCGCTAAAACTTTCAACCCTTATATAACAATTTGCTCGAAAATTTACAAGAAAAAATTTCTTCTCTCTCTTCTTCTTCTCCAGCGCCAATCTCCCTTCTATTTCCATTAAATCTTCCCCCTCTCCTTTTTATTTTCCTTCCAATCTCCTCCTCTCTTTCCTCCTTCCCTTTCTCCCCTCTACCTCTCCCCTTTTCTTCCTCCTTTTCCTCTTTCTTTCTTCCTTTCTCCCTTCTTCCTCAACCGGCCATTTTTCGGCCAGAATAGTCCGACGAAGCCTCTCCACCAGTGCGACCCACTCTCCTCCTTGTGTTGGTGAAAGGTCCTCCCTCATCTAACCCCTTAATTAATTTTTTAATTTTTTTCAATTATTTACTTAATTTAATTTTAAATTTTTTTGTTATTGTTAATTGTTAATTTAGTTAATTTATTGTTAATTGTTAAGAAATTTTAATTGTTATTAATTTTTATTAATTATGAGAGTTTAATTGTTTAATTGCTAATTTTATTGTTAAGAAAATTTAATTGTTATTAATTTTTGTTGTTAATTTAATTGTTATTGTTATTAGTTTAATTGTTAATTGTTATTGTTTATCGGTAGTTTTTAATTGTTAATTTAGTTAGTTTATTGTTAAATTTTATTTATTAATTTAGTTAGTTTAATTGATATTATTTTGGAAAGTTAATTATTTTAGAAAATTTTTAATAAGTTATTAGAAATATTTAAAATTTTTGGTAATTACAAAAATAATTAGTCATTAAAAAATTAATAATTTTTGAAATTATATTTAGTAATTAAAAAATTAATTAGTAATTAAGTTTATTTAGTTGTTGATTAAGTAAGGGAGTTAAGTAATTAACAAATTAATTAATTTTGAAATTTAATTTAGTAATTAAAAAATCAATTAGTAATTAAGTTTATTTAGTTGTTGATTAAGTAAAGGAGTTATGTAATTAAAAAATTAATTAATTTTGAAATTTTGTTTAGTAATTAAAAAATTAATTAGTAGTTAAGTTTATTTAGTTGTTAATTAAGTAAAGGAGTTAATTAATTAAGAAATTAAGTAGTGATTAAAAAATTATTTTTTTTTGTAAATTATATTAGTAATTAAAAAATTAATTAGTAATTAAGTTTAATAATAATAAACTTTCTACTTTTTTCAAGAATTTAATAATTGAATAATATTTATTACATTTTAATAAATTTTATAATAAGACTTATGAAATTTTAAAATATTATGTTTTGGGTATTTTATAGACTTTTAAATAGCAATTGGTTAATTTCAAATGAGGGTAAATAATAATAATAATAATAATAATAATAATAATATTTTAGTGACGATCTAGACTGTTGCTAATTTTTTTACGACGGAATTAGCTATGATCTAGATCGTGCTAATTCCAAATATTAGCAATAGTCTAAAACCCTCGCTAAAACCATCGTAAAACTACGATGGTTTTTTCTAATTTTGAGACGAGTTTTTCCGTCGCTAAAGTAGCGACGGTCCAAAACTGTCGTAAAATTTTAACGACCGGCATTTTACCAATGGATTTTGCCGAATTAGACCGTCGCTAATTCTTTTTTTTTTATATATATAGTGAAGCATCTCTTCTAAAGAAAAGAAAAGAGGTGGTAATTACCCTTGGTATATCTTGAGTAGGGGTGAGTAAACGGTTCGGTTAATCGAAAATCGAATAAAACCGAACCGTATTAAGGTATTTGGTTCGGTTTTGAATTTAAAATTATACAATTTAAAATCGAACCCAAAAAATCAAAATTATTTCGGTTCGGTTCGATTTTTGAAAAAAAATCGATTTGAACCGAAAATCGAAATGAACATTAAAAATTAAAATCCCTAACCCTAACTTCGAGTTCATCGGTTTCAATCTTTTCTTTCTCTCATACTCTTTTTGGACTTTCTCACTTTCTTAACACCTTCAGCGACTCAAGCGAATCACGATCATCGTCGATCAAATAATCTCATCGTCTCACTGCCACCGTCCACTAGTTCTCATTCCGTCTTCTCCCCTAATCTCCTTCGGCT